ACTGCCCCATGTCTGAGTTCTGTCACTTGTACCTCTTCATGAATTTTGGGAGCAAAATGACTAATAGTAGGCTGTTGAAGAACCATATTAAAGCTGGTCATAAAGATAGAGGCTTTGTATGCATCCTAACCCCAGCTTTTTAGCGCCATTCATCACATTTAGCAGCAATGTGGCCTTTTTGGAGGTCAGAAGTTGATATACAATGGCAAGCCTAAGAAATGTGGGACGTGTTATAGGTCTTGCTTGCGTTTCTTGGCTACCTGTATAGCCCCCAGTATCATATGTGTGAGCATCTCTCAGCCTTTCATTTATTGGTCCCCACAATAAAGATGGGTCTTCTTGGGCTATAGATGGGAAACGGAGGTGCAAAAACACGACATGGCTTGCATGAGGTCCCATGGGATGATTCGGCAGAGCAGGGAATTGAAGCCCGGTTTCCCAGCCTCAACAGCTCAACCAGCAGATGATGCATCCTCCAGCTCACAGGCCCTAGTTGTGATGAGTTATATCGATAGCAAAAAGTCACTCTAACAAACCATTTTCTCACCTGAAAGCTCAAATATGTATTAGTGACATTGTGTGCAGTTCATGCCTTCAGTGCATAAAAAACTAAAATCCCAGCGGGTGCTTCAGGCACTGCATGGTGATGAAGGCCTAGAAAGTATCTATACAGATAAACCATGTAGATAAAATAACAAAAAGGATGGAAAGACAGGGCCAGGAAGCTATGATGGTGGTGGTGGTGGTAGTAGTAGTAGTAGTAGTAGGCATCTGTCTCGCAGGCAATAAAATTACACCAAGTGAGACATCAGCTCGCTGAATGTAGTCCTCGCTGGAAAGATAAGGTGAAGCAGGAGTGACCTCTCGAGGGCACAGAAGCCTGGGCAGTGTATATGGAGACACTGAGCTGCCCGCACACCAGTGCCCCCCTCTCAGCCTTGCTGGTTTAATTCAGTGGAAAGGCAGGTGCCAGTATGTTTTGAACCAGCATGGCTGCAAGAGTTGCTGGAGCCAAGGAGATCATCCATTCGTCAGTCTATCAGGGGTCCGTTCCTAGACTGGCTGCCGACCAGAGTTAAAGAGCCCAGTCTACCCTATCATGGAGTGGACTTTAGTTGCACAACTTTTTGGCAGCATTTCCTCCACCGGGGGAAAGGTTAGTGCTCTAAGGTGCTTTTCTGCACAAAACCATTGACACCCTACAGATTGCCAGGTTATTTAACCTCCGCCCAGTTCTCTGCAATAACAGTTGCAGGTAGTTCTGTCTACTGCCATTCCCGGAGAGTTTGAGGCTCTGGTATGTATTCAGCTATCTGTGGGTGTCCTTGCTGACGTCCTTATGGTTTCTGAGACATTCGTACAGCAACAACATGGCCTGGTATGCTATAGCTGCTTCGTAAAAAGTTGGGATTGTCCTCTTCACTGAGGACATTTGGGCTTCGTGGAGACAGTCAGACTGAATCAATTAAATCTTTGCAGGTTAGTCTAAGATGCGTGGATTGAACTGATGAGCAAGTGAACAGACGTTCACTTTTGGTTCTGGAAATGCAGCCACATGCCTGCAGTGGCCCAGGACTGAAAACAGGGGGCGCTAGAGCACACCTCCCTGCTCAGGTGGAGCAGACAGCTTGGGCCATGGCTAGCCCACCCACCCTGCAAGGTTTGTGGAGGTGGTGCAAAGCATTCTGGGATGTTGGAGGTTAACTTGAATCTGGAAGGGATCTGGGGCAGAAGTTCAATAAATCAATTTAGCCTAAATCAGTGAAGTCTGAGACGGCGTCCCTCCAGATCGCCCTTAAACCGGTTTCAGCCATTTTGAAAGCAGTTATGTGCACTGAACTGTTGTGTTACAGATTTGAATTGGCTTCTGCTCACTTATACCAGTTTATGTGTAGTGTCTCTCCCTAGCCTTGGCATGTCCAGGGTGTGCTGCTGTGTGCATGTGCTGTTGGGCATTCAAAAAGTCAGTTGAATGCCAGAAAGTATTATTTCCACAGTAAATGGAAAGCTTTAAGAAGAAGCAGGCACACAAGACCAAGCCCCGTCTTTGGACATGCCTATGTACGCCGCGCTGAAGTCAGTGGCCCAACTTGAACTTGTGTTTGCTTGAATAGGACGATGCATGAGTGCGTATCCAAAGCCAGAATTTGGGCCTGGCCCAAGCAAATGCCCTTCTCCCCCCCATTCATTTTGGGGGAAATGAATTCCATTTAGGTTTTCTTTGTTAAAAAGATTCAGCTTTTAAAATCCAAGCCAGATAAAATGTTACTTTCCCTCCTTTTTTCTCAGAGGGTTGAAAGCCTTCAGTGTGCTTACAGCTGACACCTCCACAGGGAAACACTGCTGACTTTTTCCTGCACAGCTCCTCAAGTGTCTCCACCAGACAGTCAAACATCTTGCTCCCTGCCAGGCCGTCTGATTTTTCCCGAAGATCCACAAGATGTCTAAAAAGACCGGCTGTATTGTGAGTGCGTCTGGGCAGCTGGTATTCATTTATGTTTTACAAGAAAGCCTCTTAACAGCAAATAGTTTTTGCAGATCTTTCTAATGCAGGAGCTGCATCAGGAAGAGAGGTCACATTTTTGACTACGTGGGTTCACTTCCGCAGCACTACTTAAAACCAGCTTCAACTTTGCTTTCCTGTTACAACTGCAGTTAGAAGGATTTTCACGCTGGCCCTCCACTGTGCACAGCAAATGCTTCCAGTTAAACAGTCCGGTTGAAATGGCCTTACAGCTAGATTACCCTCCCCTACATAACTCCCGGCGTCTTCGGACACGGCTCCCGGCACGTCTGAGGGCAGAATTGTGCTCCTGGGCATTTGAGTCCCACCAATGACATGTCTAAACCATTCTGGTATTTAGGATCTTGCCATGCTGTGCACACAGTACACTAGCACTTTGGCAGTTGTATTTGAAAAAAAACACCATGGACTAAGCCATCCATCTTTACCACTAAAAGGATGGGATGCTTTGAAGCTGTCATGTGTCACTGGGGCAGAGTGGACGTCTTGGGGGCCGGTTAAACAAATGTTTTTTAGCTGGGTGCCCACAGTCATCAGGGACTAGAACTGATGACCTGGGTGGTCCTTTCTGATCCGTAGTTCCCACGTATAGAGATCTGTACCGCTTGAGCAAAAGGGTCAGTTGTCAAGTAGAGACCCGAACTGATCCGTGCATGGGCTGAGCGACACGCACTGATCCTGGAGTTACACTTCAGCAAGGGAGAAGTGACAAGACCTGCAGTCACACCGAGGGGGAGATGTCACTAGGCTGGAAAAAGTTTGGATAAGGAGGACCCCAAGTTTGGGTCAGAAGCTCTCCTCTGCTGTCCCCCGTGGCAGCGGTGACCGTTGTGGAAAGAAGAGCCGCAATCCTTGTGTTTCTTCGCCAGAGCAAATAAGGATTAAGGTAGAGATGAGCTAGCTTGTGCAGGCATGTGTGTTGACTTGCACGGCTGGGGTTGTGGCTGATTTGCAGGCTCTCTCATCTCTTCCCCTGGTGTGCAGTGGAGATTAGCTCTCGTTAACAGCCAGCGCGCTGATCGCGGAGGGCCCAGCCTTCTGCAGTTCACTGTCAGACGAGGTGCTTTGGCTAAATGTGATATCTTTCACTAGACCCACTCAAATCGTTGGAAAAATTCACATAGTTGAAAAAAATTCTAATTTTTTTAGAGTGGGTCTAATAAAAGATATTGGATTGACCCAAAGAACCTTACCTGCCTGTGTCCTTAGACCAACCCGGCTACAACCTACACCCTGGAAATGTGGACGATAGCGCAGCTCACTTTCTGCACTGAGCTTTAAGACGGTGCACGGCACACATCACTGGGATAGATCTGCCAAAGTGACGGTTGATTGTGGGTCCTTTGTTTTTTGGGTTTGCAAGCCAGGCACTCTGAAACGGTTTTGCTTGCAGAGGATATGTGGTGGGGGCTTTTTGTATATTCGATCTCTTAAGATGCCCAGTCGAACACTGAAAATCACTAGTCCCTTCTGAGAAATCTTGGCTATGTCTTTCCCCCTCCCTTGGCTATTTTTGGGAGGTACCACAGGAGTGCGGTGGGTTACATGTGGGTGGGAGACCTTTGTTTTTGGTGGTCCTTCATTTTTTAATTTGGACTTTTTAAATAACTTTTTGTGACATTAATCCCCCCAACATGCCTTCTGTGCAGCCAATATACAATCAGCTATTTTAACTGGAACTGCTTCATTATCCTCTGTACATCTGAGTGCAATGAGCTGGGGTCTGTCAAGTTCCTAGTAGCTCTTACCGCTTCTTTGCATGGCCTTTAATGCCTGCTGGAAGTCTGTTTTGCTTACAATATTTTGTGTGAGTTCCTTGTGAAAATGAAGGCCTAATACTAATTGCTAGAGCCAAGACTACTACTGACAGGCACTCTTTTCATAGCGTGGCTGGTTCATCTCAGCTCTGACCTCTAGCTGTTATCCTTTCCTCCCTACCATGGCCCCCTTTACCTGGCATGTTCCTCCTCCGGGCAGAGCCAGTAGGTCTGTGCGGCAATTTTGAACCGTAGACAGATATCCAGTGGGAGCCTACAATGGACCCATCAAACTTGTCTTTCATTTGTAACCAAACAAGGATTTGAACACGGGTCTCCATGGGTGAATGACCAGTGCCCTAAACAATTGCATAGTGCTCTCAGCATCTAATTACCGGGACAAAGCGTTCCATAATAATGGGTGGTGCATAATAGCTTATTCTCTTCTAAGGCCTGATCCAAAATGCAATGAAGTCAGTGGAAAGACTTTCATTGACTTCAATGGTCTTTAAATCAGGCCACTGGTGTAGTGCTGGCAAACTTACCAGCACCCATAAATCTGTATCAAAACCTATTTCCCTTCAAAATAAACTCTGTCATAAATGATTTACTCAGAGCAAGAAAGTGACATTTTTTTTTTCAGGGTGCCTGCCTGTACATTATCTATTTTTGTGTTGATTCCTGTTAAAATATTGTAGCCATCGGATTTCCTCTCATTTACCTTCAATAGTGTATCACGGAGGCTTTTTCCTCCCGAGTGTTTCTTGTGGGGAAGGGTACTGAAGCCAGCTGAGCAGAGTGATCAGCAAGAGCAATGGCTCTGGACGTATTTGGGGGTCATGTGCCCCTTTTTGCTATGCTGCTGTGTAGCCTGATGATTCCTTGTTACATATGTAAAAAAATAATACCTTGTTGCCGCAACTACATTGGGAGCCAGGGGAGCCACTAGATCCTCTGAAGGGTGATGGTAGGTGTGGGGAGATAAGCTAGGTGGGAGGAGACAGGTTAAGTTGAGGCTCGCTCAGCCCCAGCCTAGTCATTCCCCTGCCCCTGGACCCTCTGCAAGGAAGTAAGCACTGTAATAAATTGGGCTAAGATCAAGTGGGGGCATCCGAATCCCAAGACCTCCAGCCTTGGGCCTGCACATAGGATGCCTGCCAATGGATCTGGGAGTATCTGAAGTCCTGGGGTGAGAGCCTGGGATGGAGGGTGCTCGCCGGTTGTAGCACCACACACGGTGTCTAGAACGATTCGGTTCCACCTGCTCCATCGGTACGGTTTTTGGAACAGTTGAATCCCGGTCAATCGCTGTGATTTGGAACTAATTCGGCTGATTTGACCCGGAACATGAAATTATTAAAAAATATATACAGTTTTTGAAATGGATGCCACTCAGTTCACAACAGTTACCGAGGGGTGCCTTGAGTCTGGAACGGTTGAGCCTCTCCAGTGACTTAAGAGACACTGCATGCTGCAATGGTAGATCTGTCCTTTTTCCTTTTCTCCCTTTATATTTTCTCGTTCTCTTCTTCTGCTTTCCCATCCCTTCCTCTCCCGCGCCCTTGAGACGTTCACCACGATCCCTTCCGAGGTCTGCATACCTCTCTTTGAGAAATGTTGAGTTGGAGGAAAGCCGTAGACAGAAGGGGCAAAGGCAGACTTGCATAACCCCCGTGGAGAATCGAAGAGGAAGGGAGGATCCACCATCAGCAACGTTGAAAGAGTAGCTAAGGAGGTCAGAGCTGAACTTGGAAAGGCTTGCATTGAACCCATACAGTTCATGGACTTATTTCCCAGAGGAAGGGTTACTTGTAAGGGTAAGGTCTGCGAGCCCTTGTCCCCCTTGTGCAGTACTCCCTGGATCAGGTTCTGGGTGGTCACTAACCCGGGGACTGGCCTCAGCTATGTATCAGCAGCAAGTACCAAAAAAGAAAACGGAGAAAACTGTCCCGTCCCTTCATTATATGCCATGCTGGGGCCACTGGGTAGTAAGTGCAGTAAGAAATTCTCCCGGAGATCCATGGGAAGAGGTTCCACGCAGGCTGAACAAACAATTGTTGTTTGTTTAAGATTTACAATTTAAATATCTTTTTTGCATACGAGTTAAACATCCAGTGTCCAGACAGCAGATGGCTGCCCTTTCTGCGTGCTTCACTGACATGCTTTGGGGACATATTGCACCAAAAGCAGCCGCCAGTGCTGCTTGCAGACTCCAAGAAAAACAGCACACTTCACCACCACGCAAAAAAAGAAAGGAGCTAAAATTCGTCTTTCGACTGCCGTGGTCTGCGGGAGCAGGGTCCCGGCAAGGGGAAGCAGGTTCATCGCGGTTCAGCGGCTGATTCAAAATGCATGAAATTTGCGTGGAATTTCCTTAATCTGCCTTTACAGAAAAATTCCTTTCCCGTTTCCTGAGCGGGGCGATGGAGGCCCATCTCATCGGAGGGAGCATTCTTGAACTGGGGGATATCATTTATTATAAAAGATCATGGGTCAAAGGTATCTTAACCCAGATCAAGGGCAAGGTCTGTGGGGAGTGCCTGGAGTCATTAGTGATAACTCACAATAGAAAACCAATTATGTAGCAAGCAGTTGACACCGATGTCTACTGCAAATGGCATATATATACCTACTTGGTTCATGCATTTTGTAAAAGCCCAAGTTGTTGGAGGTTCACTTACCAGTGCTGGCTGGCTAATTAGTGCATTTCCACCACCTTGTTTAATGTTTATTATTAATTATTGTTATTAATTATTATTGGTTTTTTTCTTATTTTTTTGTAGTGCTATTTTAAAACCCTTACTGAGGTGCCAGAATGGTACAGGGTTGAAGAACCTGCCCCTAAGCTCCTAAAATGATAGTTCGGAGTCGGTCAGCCTATGGAGAGGGATCCCTATTCTTTTCGCCTGTCTGTGGGTGTGTGTACACCAGACAATAACTGTGCAGTAGCCTAATAACACTGTGCAATAGTGTGTTGGGCAAAACCGGTGCTAATATGCTCCTGCACAGTAGTATTAGGTTACTGTGCAGTTAGCATCCGAAATCCCCCCATGCACCGGCACTGTTGCACAGTAGCATGAGTTACTGCTCATTGATTTAGCACCGGGTTATCCAAATACTAAACTTAATGCACAGTAACTACGGTGCATGAATGAATGTGTAGACGCACCCTGCAAGTAGCTGACTTTGTGGGAGGGAGTAGCGGGTAAAGGAGAGTGTTATGTATTCCTTCAGTTCTGTTCAAGGCCTTATGCTTGTTGGACGGGAAGTGTTATAATAGTGCAAATGACTGTTTTTCTCTACAGATGTTGTTTCCCTGATTCTAAGCTTTCATCACCCTCGTAAAGAACGATACGCAGCCATTTAATCCCGTCCAATTAAAACCCCCGAAGTGCTAAAAGGTAACATTTTACAAATGCAGAGTACTGTGCTCTTGCATGTTAATTAGTGCCTCGGAGCATTTTACAAGCATTAATTAATGTCGTGTCATAACTTCCCTGTAAAGAGGAGAAATCTGATCGGCCCTCTTTTGGCAGATGACAAAAGAGAGGCGCATACGTAGTGGTCGAATGGTCTGTTATCAGAGCGGTGATCAGATTTCAGGAATTGCTGGCTCCCAGGCTCCTACTCGGTGCAGCCGTTTTGACACAACATCTGATGTACCAACTCAAATCCATGCCTTGCACAACGTGACTCAGAAAAAAGCATCCCTGCGTTTTTTACACGGCATCGGTGCTCAGTGCTTGTATTGCACAATGTAATGCCGTTCTGATATCCTGCAATCTTGTCATGTCTGATTATTTTGGGGACAAGCAGTGATACGTGACAACCGGATCTTCCAACCCGAGTGTTTTTATCTCTGCTTATCCCTTTCTCTGAGAACCCAAAATAGAGCATTAATACCTGTTTCATCCTTGTTTTACTTGCATATAAACCTCTAGTCCCAATAGTTTAAGATCGCGGCTACCTGTTTTGAAAAGCAGTCCTGGTACGTCCAGAACTACAATTACACAGGGGAGGAAGGGAAGTTTTTGTAATGTGTTTGATATCTGTAGCTAGTCCCGGTACCAGGCTGTGCTAAGAGGTACTGGAAGCTCTGCCTGTGTCATTCAGGCTTATCGCTGCCAAAAACAGTGATTGGAAAAGGCTTTTTGCAAGGCTGAACTGTAAGCAATAAAACTTGTATTCAGATGCAGGCACAGTGCACTTAGCTAATAAAAACAGCCTCAGTGTCAAAAGGTTTCAGTAAATGTGGCTGGAGGTATTAGCAGTCACTTGTGTGCTAGCCTCTTGCTCCCTTCCAAGTCCAAGATGATGGAGAGGCGATAAAAAAATGGGTCGCAGTTCCCCATAGGAAGCATTTTAAAGTCTCAGGACTTCTAGTGGAGGATGCCATAGAAATGCTCCCACGATCGTAAAAGCAACGTCAGCTTAATTCTGTAATACTCCCCCTCCCTCCAGGTATGCAGACCAAACACATTGCCAGCCCCGGTCCTTTCATGTGTGTTTAGACATGCCATTTATAAAGGCTGTTCCTAATGGATGGGGGTAGAGGGATGGCCTTGTGGTTAAGGGGCATGGCATGGGTAGAGGCCTCCTGGCTCTCCCTCTCCCTGTCCTTCCCTATGTGAACCTGGCCAGCTCCCTCTAAGCTGCCTGTCATGTAAAGTTGCATCTGCAAAATGAGGGTATAAGTTATGCTGCCCTACATCACACAGCGGTATTATAGACTCTGTCCATTAATGCTGGAAAAACACTTTGAGGCTCTCAGATAGAAGGCACAATGGAAGTGGAAATTCCTGGGATTTTTTTTCTTGAGTTGGAGCTATTTTTTAAAGCCTAGGCCCAGTTCTGCCACTCCTGACTTGGAGTGAGATTTTACTCAGCAAGTAGTTCCATGAATTCAGCGGGCAGAGTAAGGTGCTATTCAGTATCAATACGGGGTCGTACAACCAGACCTGGAGCTAAACATTTTTTTAAGGTTTTTAAGACCCGGGTAGACAAAGCCTTGGCTGGGGCGATATGGGTGGGGAAGAGCAGGGGGTTGGACTAGATGTGACCTCCTGAGGTCCCTTCCAGCCCTCATTTTCTATGATCCTAGCATGGTAATCCAGTCAGGGTTGTTTTAGGAGAGCCTGCTGCAGCCCAGATGAATGTGGCTTTGGACCGCAACATTTTATTTGGCAACTAAAAATTCAAATTCTTTATCGACTTCAGTGTTAGCAGATTCCTCTCCCATGATCACGTGCATGCTCATCCAACTCAGAAGAAACTGCATTCACTAATCTACCTGCATTTCCAATTTGTGTTTCAGTCACGCTCTGTTTGCCAGGAGTGGCGAAGAGCAGGTTTTTGAAGGTTGCTGTGAATTGAATTATTTGAGACGATCCCTTCTCTGAATGCTGGGGCCGACAACTGTGTTTGAAAGTACTGTTATAAATAATAATAATTAGTACTTGCATGTGCTAGCATAGCTGCCTTCGGCCACTGGTTTTGAAATATGGATGTTGTCAGCAGAGCAGCAATCCAAAGGAAGACTAGGTGAAAATTTTGCTGCAGAAAAGATGGTCACAGCAAGCTGGTGGGTCCCTACACCCATCCATTGGCCAACTGATAAGTAAGCAACTGGTCACAGGGAATAGGGTTAGAAAAATATTATTAAAAAAACCACTGCCATTTTCTATGGTAGTGACCCAGCCTTTGGGAGCTGAGTTACAGTCATCTGGATC